TTTGGTGTTTCTGTCAGAACGAAAGATATTGAAGCCAGGGAGGAATAGTTCGGAGTCGCTGATGTTAATTGTGAGCCATGTTTTGCCTAAACAGATGATGTCAAAGTTGTTAGTGAAGACAAAGTTTGATAGAGATGTGCGGCTACTTGAGTTCACTAAGCTTCGGGTATTGAAAGTAAGAATCGAATAATCGGTAAATTGGTCAGTTTTGCAAATCAAAGAAAGTCAACATTCACTCAAATCTACTACTGCTCCATCTAGGAAGAGTTCTAAATCACGAACTTTTAATCGGCTAGGATCTGTGTTTTCTTCGATCAGACTTCTTCTTTTTTTCAAGGTTTTGGGTTCTTGTTCTTGCTCGGTCTTATTTAACGATTTGCCGATGTACACTTTGAATTTTTCGTATGCGGTACCATCGTATTGCTTCAGTCTGAAGGCACTCGCAAGTACCTTGTATGTAGTCATTTTGTTGCGAAAGTTGACTAAAAATGTTCTTGGTCTTATCGACTCAGGTCTGAATTTTCTCACACGTGTTGCTGATGTTATTGCTTCTTTTTGTATTTCGAGATGTTCCATGATTGAAATCATGGCTTTTTCTTTGTGTTGTATTATGTCTAGCTGTCTGGGCTTCTTTTCAGAGCTGACAGATTTGAACTCCGGTATACCGGAGATCATCACCTCACATGTTTTATCATCTTCGGAGTTTTTCTGTTTCAACAGTGCTGAGATGTAGCTACCCTTGGAGGTTTCCCTCTGAATAGACAAACAATGTTATCTTTTTTCGTTTTGCTTAGGAACTTGTTTAGATCATCGTCGTGAGCAGACAGGATTTGATCAAGTGAGGGATAGTACTTCGCATCTACCGAACCAAGGCGCGTCCTGGTCTCACCCATTATATCGATATGGGTCTACTAGAAAATGATTGCTTGCTGTAAGACTTGCTTGCAATGAATCCCGAGAGGGAGACCTATTTGCCAAGCCTTACAAACAGCGGAGAGGAAAAAAGGAAGGGAGGGGTTTGACTTCAACGGTGAATCCAGAAAAGGAGACCTATCTGTTAGAGTCTAAACGAGGGCTCTAACCTTATCCCGTGTATGATCCCCACAGACAACCGGTCGCTCGATTGCACTCGTAAGTGTTGGGTTGTCGCTCGCTGACACTTACAGAATAGTCTTCGTATAAGACCCGTTTCTTCAAAATACTTCTTAGTCCACTCAAAGCTGACTCGTTGAGGTGGACGTGATCTCGCTCGGTGACGTGGTTCTCACAGTAAATCTGTTCAGATAGGCCTCGGAAAACCCAACGAGCGCCAACTGCTTATTTTTCTATCTTTCGATTTATTGAGAAGTGTCGGATGAGGTCGTGGTCCTGAATCGATTGGCGTTCGGCTTCAGGGGGATATCGAGCGGGAATGCCAAGTACAAAGACACGTTCGCAGACGTGGAGCAGATGGTTTACTAGGCTGACTATACGATCAGTTACTTCCTCTACGCTTGCCGTAGATGGTAGGTAGCCGTTGTACAGATCGTTTCCGACCGCGAATATTACAATTTTGTCGTATTGATCTTTTGCTGGCACAAACCTGTACAGATCGTGAACTTGAGCTCCAGGTAACGAGAGGATGTTGATGCTGCTAAATTCTAAACGTCTGGCTTGTGAGTCTGCAATCAATATGCTTCGAATAGGGCTATCCTTGAAGATATGGAATCGCATTAATACTATAGGGACCACCACGGCTGTCCCGTATCAATCAGTTATCCATTGAAAGTCAAAGACTTAAAAAACAGGGTATAACGTTTAACTTAAACTAGCAAGCACATCCTCATTAATCGGCTCGCAGAAAGAAAAGAATCTTTAAATTAATTCGAACTTACCTCAGAATGAGCCGGGATTGATAGGTCCTACAATTTTTTTTTTTAAAAAGGTTAATTAAAATGGGCCCTTCCGTCACGCGACGGTACGTGCACAGGTTGGATAGCGCCGTACCAACGCTTTATAAATACATCGGCAAAGTTTATCACGATAAAATTCATATAAGTCGTGATTTTTTTTTAAGTTTTTTTTCCAGGAAATTTCTACTACCTAGATGGCGAGCGTAGTGTAAAGGTACGAACCTTGTTGTCTTTCCATTCTAACTCCCATATAAAAGTGCTCATTTGGTGGCACTTTGCTATAATCACGCTCTGTAGTAATGGAAATTTCCATCCAATTTCTTAAATGCTTCTGGAGTTGTTCTGGTTAGCAGGCTTAGATTTTTTGAACTCCCTTTGTGTAGCAGGATTACCCATTTTGTGGTGTTATTTTAGCTATTTTGAAAAGCTTTTCAGTTAGGGTAGCTGTCTTTTCAGTTTCGCTTTACATGTATTTATAGCATGCTGATGGTGTTCCTATAACCGATAAGGACTCTAAAACCGTCTACCATTGTAATTATTGAGCCTTCGAACACTTTTATGGCGCTGTCATGACGGTTTTCTTTTTCTATGAGTTGACACTTGGAAGGCTTCACATTGTATTGTAAAGCCTTTTCGTGCACATCCAGTTTGTCCAGTATTGCGCAGAGACTCTTGAGATCACGTGCAGCGCTTTCATCATCCTTGTATCATTTTTGTGTGACATTTAGTTTTTGCAGGAGCTCAATCAGTTGGAATATTCCAATTCCCTACATAGGCATTGCGAGTGGATCAACTTGCGTTGTGCCTTCGGTAGAAGTCAAAACCGTGTTATTGACAAATAGATTTGAGGGATGTTTATTTGTGTCGGCCAGCGCATGATGTAGTGCCAGACAAAGGATTTCTACATTTTTTAGAGCAAGTTCTGTATTGAGCGAGTTGAAGACATTTGCTGCATCAATAAGTAGTATGACGTCCGTTTCCGGTTTCTCAAACTAGTTCCTCAAGCTGTGGATAGCATATTCGATTCCACACTTCTGGCCTAAGGTCTGATTTTATACATTGGGTAATTGTTTTGCCAATTATTCTTCTCAGAATTTCGCCGATACCAATGGGCCGTACCCCTGAGTTTTTGTCCAGAGGTATCAGGCGACACGAGTTTTACGCCGTTAGGTTTTCATGGAGGAGAACTTTACTAGCTATTTTATATGATAGTTTAGCAATTGTTTTGTAAAGTTCAATGGATGTCTGGTTGAAGTGAGTCAATATCCTTCTCCATTCGCACGCATCTAGACCTGAGGGACCGTGGCGTCCGTGCATTTTCAGGGTTGATTTTAGAACTGTCTTGGCGTTTATTTGTTCGAATATAGAGGGGTGGTATGGCATTGTGTCTTCACTTACTTCAGTTATATAGTTAGCCTTCGCTGTTTTGGCTTGAGGGTGTTTTTCTTTCAGGATATTAAGGACTGTTTTTCTTTCAATTACTTAGTTTAGGGGAAGTACTCCTTTTGTTTTCTTGTCTGAAAGGCAGCCAATGGCGGCAGAAATTTTGCCTGTACTCATTAGTTTATCAAATTGCTTAATTTCCTCGTTTACTTCGGACTTCTTCTGTTTTGGATGTCTAATTTGGAGAGCTTCTGCCTAAGTGAAAAAGTCTTCTAAAAGGCCTTGCTTCCATAGAAATATTATGAAGTGTTTTAGAGCGTTTTATTATTAAGTGTTTTATTATTAAGTGTTTTAAGTGTACGCGGCTTAGTGTTTTAGAGTTTGATCCGTTTCTTTCTAATTTAGTTTTGGGGAGCAGCAGATGTGGGAGACTTTTTGCTGCTTTCAATGCGACGTTAGAATTTGGTGTTTCTTCTGCTAATGATAACAGCTGCTGGTTCAGTAGTTCTATAAATTGAAAACCGGGCTTGTTCTTGCTTAGATTTATGAAGCGCGGTTTTTAGTTAACGATATTTTTGTAAATGTCATTTATTTTCCCTTCAAATTCTTGATCGATAAGTTTCCAGGGGTCGAAGGATGATTGCTGGGGGCGTTGGATAAGATTGTGTTGCGATAAGAAGTGTTGCCGGTGATGTTTCTTTTTGAGTTGTGATGGGGGCTGTGATTGTTGGTCTGTTGGTGGAGTTGGGCTCTTTTGCAAAGTTCTCGGGGGTGCAGTGTATGCAGGGGAATAAAATTTGCTGCTCTGTAGCCCGCTATATGAGACATGGATGTAAGCTTTGCAAAAAACACACCATATGCCTCCTTTTGGGAGGTGGCGTTTGCAAACATGGCAGTTCGTTTGATCGGCCATAATTTAGCAACGAGGAGGGTAATTTTATTGTGAATATATACAAATTAGTTGAGAGAGCATTAAACTGAAATTTTTTTACTATAAAAAGAAAAGTAAATACCATCTTTACAAAACATATTTGCACTAAAATTAACGTAGGGGGAAATAGTTCTGATTCTTGAGTGGTAAAATGTATTAATAAGGTGAAACAAAGAGTTATTTAGATCACCAATTTTTCAGTTTATGAAGTGATGAATTGCAGTGAGGATGGTTTTGGGGATATTTAGTGTTTGGGATAAACTTATGAATTATCAAATTTATTAAAAAACTCCAATCATTAGCAAAGTTTTAAACCGTTGATGAGTTATCATTAAATCCGGCTACTATAAGAACACAGTTCAGTTTCTGCGAGGGGTAGCGCGAAACAGTAGCGGCAAGCACGACTAGCTTTGCATCTCTGTACGAGTGAACCGTGGCTTCGACATCTTTGGGGCTGCAGTACTTGGTCCTTGAGGTTCCTATTACCAGTTTCCTTCTCCACTTGAGTAGCCACTTCGGCCTGTACTTCGGCAGCGACATTCACTAAATAGGGTACAATTGAGTCAAAACAAGAGACAGAATAGGTTATAAAATGGATTGTAGAGAAAAGGATTTAAAAAACAAATAACAAAAAAGAAATGAAAGCGATTACAACCTGGTTTTTTACGGGTGGAGGTTCCGGCGGGGAAATCCGGGTAGAGGGGGAGTATCGCAGCTTGACGAGCTTGTCTCTACAATCCAGTACCGAGCCTTCTTCTTACAAGCGTACCATTATGAGCGTATCATATCACGTGAAACTATTTAATAAGTTTATCACAACATTTAGACTAAGTTGTGAAAGATCAACTTGTGAAAAATCAAAAACAGACAAAAAACAAACTAGAACATCGTTTTCATAGATTTAAAAGCCCAGAAACATCCAATGACCCGTTTGAGTTTAAGCTAGAGGCCCAACTGTCAATATTGTACCTAACCTGTTGGCAGAACTTTTTTAGCAGGCCATTCAAATAACGAAACTTTTGTACCCTAAACAGAAAGCAAGAATTTTTTTTTACAAAATGTGACATAACTCGAATGCTTTTCTGACTCGAGTCTTTTTTTTTCAATTTTCCTTTTTTAAATCAAATAACACAGAGTATTATTGTTATGAAAATTCAGCAGCTTGGACTGCAGGGATATCTTCTATTGTTTTTGGGGATTTTGTCGACTGCTGCTGCATATGCATATGTAAATCCAGAAACATGGATATAAACAATTCCAATTTTGCAAAAGATTTTAAGTAAATTTTAAATGTTTTCGCAACTATGAGTATCGTCAGAGTTTTTACAATAAACTAATCTCAATGACGACAAAACCTCAATTTACAAAAGTTATTTAGAATATATCGAAAAAAAGTTGGTTTTAAAACTATCCCCAAGCCTCTTCATATCCCTCTGTCATGAAATTTGTTGACAAAATGCTACCACGCTCGCATTCAAAGCACAATTGCTTAATGAGTTTTTTGGATCAGTCTTTGGTCCGAAAGTTATCACTGATATTACGTTTCCTTCCCTTGAAATCTTTCACCTGGAAGATGTTATGATTACTGTGACATTAGACCAGAATGGCGCCAAAGTGCATGTCAACTTCGAAATTTTAATTTGACCGTAAGATGGGAAATTGGTAGTTTAACCAGATTAATGTATTAACAATTTTTGGTCACAGGGACTCGGGATAAGCAGGCTCATGACTTCCCACCTAACCCTCCGACCCCGGAAACTTTTGGTCTTACCTGAGCTAAAAAAGCTAAAATTTACCAGGTGGAGGATACGCATCTTCCTCCTAATACAATACAGGACATTAGGGCCTCTAACTCGGGCATACGCCCGGAGTGGAGGGTTCGTCACTGAAACGTTTGCTGATCATGATGGTCTATTGTTTTTAACAGGCCCACCCAGGAGCGCCGTAAAAACGTATATGTAACACTCGCCCAGATTTTACACAATGACGGAGCGTAGAAAAAGTACCTAATGACGACTCGCTGTTTTCAGTTACCTTAATTCTACTTGTTTTTAACCGTCTTGACCCTGCCAGTTATTTTTGTGGTCTGTTAATGGCTTAGTAATAGGTTACCATTTTTAGGCCATCAGCCTAACGAGTTTTGATCGCTACATGAGACATGGATGTAAGCTTTGCAAAAAACACACCATATGCCTCCTTTTGGGAGGTGGCGTTTGCAAATATGGCAGTTCGTTTGATCGGCCATAATTTAGCAACGAGGAGGGTAATTTTATTGTGAATATATACAAATTAGCTGAGAGAGCATTAAACTGAAATTTTTTTACTATAAAAAGAAAAGTAAATACCATCTTTACAAAACATATTTGCACTAAAATTAACGTAGGGGGAAATAGTTCTGATTCTTGAGTGGTAAAATGTATTAATAAGGTGAAACAAAGAGTTATTTAGATCACCAATTTTTCAGTTTATGAAGTGATGAATTGCAGTGAGGATGGTTTTGGGGATATTTAGTGTTTGGGATAAACTTATGAATTATCAAATTTATTAAAAAACTCCAATCATTAGCAAAGTTTTAAACCGTTGATGAGTTATCATTAAATCCGGCTACTATAAGAACACAGTTCAGTTTCTGCGAGGGGTAGCGCGAAACAGTAGCGGCAAGCTCGACTAGCTTTGCATCTCTGTACGAGTGAACCGTGGCTTCGACATCTTTGGGGCTGCAGTACTTGGTCCTTGAGGTTCCTATTACCAGTTTCCTTCTCCACTTGAGTAGCCACTTCGGCCTGTACTTCGGCAGCGACATTCACTAAATAGGGTACAATTGAGTCAAAACAAGAGACAGAATAGGTTATAAAATGGATTGTAGAGAAAAGGATTTAAAAAACAAATAACAAAAAAGAAATGAAAGCGATTACAACCTGGTTTTTTACGGGTGGAGGTTCCGGCGGGGAAATCCGGGTAGAGGGGGAGTATCGCAGCTTGACGAGCTTGTCTCTACAATCCAGTACCGAGCCTTCTTCTTACAAGCGTACCAAGCGTAGACTTTGTTGCAATAAGGACCCCACCGTGGGCTGTTTTTTCATTTTGTTTGGTGTTTCTGTCAGAACGAAAGATATTGAAGCCAGGGAGGAATAGTTCGGATTCGCTGAAGTTAATTGTGAGCCATGTTTTGCCTAAACAGATGATGTCAAAGTTGTTAGTGAAGACAAAGTTTGATAGAGATGTGCGGCTACTTGAGTTCACTAAGCTTCGGGTATTGAAAGTAAGAATCAAATAATCGGTAAATTGGTCAGTTTTGCAAATCAAAGAAAGTCAACATTCACTCAAATCTACTACTGCTCCATCTAGGAAGAGTTCTAAATCACGAACTTTTAATCGGCTAGGATCTGTGTTTTCTTCGATCAGACTTCTTCTTTTTTTCAAGGTTTTGGGTTCTTGTTCTTGCTCGGTCTTATTTAACGATTTGCCGATGTACACTTTGAATTTTTCGTATGCGGTACCATCGTATTGCTTCAGTCTGAAGGCACTCGCAAGTACCTTGTATGTAGTCATTTTGTTGCGAAAGTTGACTAAAAATGTTCTTGGTCTTATCGACTCAGGTCTGAATTTTCTCACACGTGTTGCTGATGTTATTGCTTCTTTTTGTATTTCGAGATGTTCCATGATTGAAATCATGGCTTTTTCTTTGTGTTGTATTATGTCTAGCTGTCTGGGCTTCTTTTCAGAGCTGACAGATTTGAACTCCGGTATACCGGAGATCATCACCTCACATGTTTTATCATCTTCGGAGTTTTTCTGTTTCAACAGTGCTGAGATGTAGCTACCCTTGGAGGTTTCCCTCTGAATAGACAAACAATGTTATCTTTTTTCGTTTTGCTTAGGAACTTGTTTAGATCATCGTCGTGAGCAGACAGGATTTGATCAAGTGAGGGATAGTACTTCGCATCTACCGAACCAAGGCGCGTCCTGGTCTCACCCATTATATCGATATGGGTCTACTAGAAAATGATTGCTTGCTGTAAGACTTGCTTGCAATGAATCCCGAGAGGGAGACCTATTTGCCAAGCCTTACAAACAGCGGAGAGGAAAAAAGGAAGGGAGGGGTTTGACTTCAACGGTGAATCCAGAAAAGGAGACCTATCTGTTAGAGTCTAAACGAGGGCTCTAACCTTATCCCGTGTATGATCCCCACAGACAACCGGTCGCTCGATTGCACTCGTAAGTGTTGGGTCGTCGCTCGCTGACACTTACAGAATAGTCTTCGTATAAGACCCGTTTCTTCAAAATACTTCTTAGTCCACTCAAAGCTGACTCGTTGAGGTGGACGTGATCTCGCTCGGTGACGTGGTTCTCACAGTAAATCTGTTCAGATAGGCCTCGGAAAACCCAACGAGCGCCAACTGCTTATTTTTCTATCTTTCGATTTATTGAGAAGTGTCGGATGAGGTCGTGGTCCTGAATCGATTGGCGTTCGGCTTCAGGGGGATATCGAGCGGGAATGCCAAGTACAAAGACACGTTCGCAGACGTGGAGCAGATGGTTTACTAGGCTGACTATACGATCAGTTACTTCCTCTACGCTTGCCGTAGATGGTAGGTAGCCGTTGTACAGATCGTTTCCGACCGCGAATATTACAATTTTGTCGTAATGATCTTTTGCTGGCACAAACCTGTACAGATCGTGAACTTGAGCTCCAGGTAACGAGAGGATGTTGATGCTGCTAAATTCTAAACGTCTGGCTTGTGAGTCTGCAATCAATATGCTTCGAATAGGGCTATCCTTGAAGATATGGAATCGCATTAATACTATAGGGACCACCACGGCTGTCCCGTATCAATCAGTTATCTATTGAAAGTCAAAGACTTAAAAAACAGGGTATAACGTTTAACTTAAACTAGCAAGCACATCCTCATTAATCGGCTCGCAGAAAGAAAAGAATCTTTAAATTAATTCGAACTTACCTCAGAATGAGCCGGGATTGATAGGTCCTACAATTTTTTTTTTAAAAAGGTTAATTAAAATGGGCCCTTCCGTCACGCGACGGTACGTGCACAGGTTGGATAGCGCCGTACCAACGCTTTATAAATACATCGGCAAAGTTTATCACGATAAAATTCATATAAGTCGTGATTTTTTTTTAAGTTTTTTTTTCCAGGAAATTTCTACTACCTAGATGGCGAGCGTAGTGTAAAGGTACGAACCTTGTTGTCTTTCCATTCTAACTCCCATATAAAAGTGCTCATTTGGTGGCACTTTGCTATAATCACGCTCTGTAGTAATGGAAATTTCCATCCAATTTCTTAAATGCTTCTGGAGTTGTTCTGGTTAGCAGGCTTAATTTTTTTGAACTCCCTTTGTGTAGCAGGATTACCCATTTTGTGGTGTTATTTTAGCTATTTTGAAAAGCTTTTCAGTTAGGGTAGCTGTCTTTTCATTTTCGCTTTACATGTATTTATAGCATGCTGATGGTGTTCCTATAACCGATAAGGACTCTAAAACCGTCTACCATTGTAATTATTGAGCCTTCGAACACTTTTATGGCGCTGTCATTACGGTTTTCTTTTTCTATGAGTTGACACTTGGAAGGCTTCACATTGTATTGTAAAGCCTTTTCGTGCACATCCAGTTTGTCCAGTATTGCGCAGAGACTCTTGAGATCACGTGCAGCGCTTTCATCATCCTTGTATCATTTTTGTGTGACATTTAGTTTTTGCAGGAGCTCAATCAGTTGGAATATTCCAATTCCCTACATAGGCATTGCGAGTGGATCAACTTGCGTTGTGCCTTCGGTAGAAGTCAAAACCGTGTTATTGAC